TTTTGTTGGTTTTTTTTTTTTTTTTTTTTTTTGCCATTGTCATGAGCTCCAGGCATTTTTTTGGCCATTGTATTGAACTCCAGGCATCTATTTTCTCTACCCTCCAGCTCTCAATAGTCCCCTATCAGGGCCTGAAACCCAGCCTCTGAGCCCCAGGCTTAGGGTGGTTGCTGCTGGCAGGCTCCACAATGATTGGAGGCCTCCCTGTCTCCTTGGGGCTCCCAACAACAACCACTCCTGGGCTCAGTGTTGCAGGTTTGCTCCAGCTGATGGACTATATTCCCATTATTGAATCTTGCTCCCCACCCCCTATTCTGCCCAGAATCCGTCATCAGCTGTAGCATCCCAGCTGGAGTCCTGCTCAGCATGACTTCCCTGCACCTGGATGGGGCCCTCCTTCCCCCCTGGCCCCCATACCCGCACCTGTCGAGTTTATTTGGCAGCACCTCCCCAAGAGCAGCGAGCGGGGCTTGGCCTGTCTGTGTTCTAAGACGTGAAACCCTACACTGAGCGTGAGTGACTGCCATTGTGCCTCCTTTAGAATAAAATTCTAAAAGCTGTTCTTTCCCCTGAATTACTGCAGCTGCAGCTCCAATAAAGGCGAAACCACCGGCCACCCTCCCTCTGGATCTGAATGCTTTCAAGGAACTATTTATTGAGACTGAGCAAGGACTACTTTCTCTGGTTTTCAAATATGTTTAACACACCAATCAATGTGGCACCTTGTTAATCATTTCACTCAACCAATCCTCATCGAGCACCGAAATACACAGAGCACAATCCCCAACAGTGAGGTTCAAGGTGGTGAAACCCCATCACTGCCATAGGAGCTTCCTGCCCAGTGGATTCGAATTACAGAATACAATATAATCAGGTAATAATCACCAAAAACATCAGGTCTAGTTTTACTCATTTACCAAAGGCGTGAGAAAGCTGGGTGTGCCCTGGGAGGGTGGTTTAGAAATAGAGGGATCGCAGAGGCAGTGAGAGAAAGCTCCCTGGAGGAGGTGAGACTTGCATTCACCTTCCAAAGATGTAAACCAAAGCAAAGCAGGGTCAGGGTGAGGTGGGGAGGAGAGAAGAGAGGCACAGATTCCAAGCAACAGAAAACCACAGGGGCCAAGGTGGGACCTGACCTGAACGGTCAGGGGACAATGAACAGTTTGGGTGGAGTGATGGCTTGTTTAGAGGATTAAGGGTAGACTGAGGCTGGGTCCAGACTTGCAGGGCTTGGGTACACTCCAAGGGTTAATATTTATTTGTTGGCCCTGCTTGATTAAAATTAGGAGCAGCACATGCCACAGGTTAAGAGCCAAGGTGAGAAGTCGACCCTTGCTTGCCTAGAGGCGTTTGATAGGAGGTCTGCAGAGCAGGCAGCTGGGCCAACGACAGATTTGCACAATGCAGACACTGCTAGCAGAGCAGGCGGTTCAGAATGCTTTCTGTACACATGAAATCTCCAGGAGGGCTGCAAATCTACAAATCAACGAGGGCTAGTATCACTGCCTTTCATTTATTTGTGAGACCTCAGACAGATCAGTAATTTATTCAGGATCATGCAGCCAAAAAGAATCTTCCAATCTCCTAATTTAAATCTCTTTTCAGAAGTATATTTGCATATCAAGAGCTCATGGCAACCAAACCCATATAATAAGCCCTCATCTATTCATATTATCTCCACTTAAGGACAGTTCTTAGAGCCTTTTTCTTCTTCTGAAATTCTAAAATGGGGAATACACTTCCTTCTAGCCTAAAATGTTACTTTGGCTTCAGCTTTGAGATAAAAACCCTGGTGCTGAGAGACTTCGGCAAAGAATTGCATTATATCTACAACTGCCCTGACACAATCAACACCAGCCACCACCGCTGCCTGCAAAAACCCCAAAAGGAAGCAGACGTGCGGGAAGGGCTGCGCTGCGTCTCATCCCTAATGTTTTGTCCCTGCTTCCAACCTAGGGCCAACCAGAGCAAGGCAAACATGCGCCCCTAACCAGCCACATAGGACCCCCACTTCCAGCTGGCCGCCTGGAGCTTCCCAGGACCACCTCCGCCCGTCGAGGCAAACCTGGCTCCTTCCCTTTCTCCTCCAGAAAGCTCTTCGCTCCTCTGTGTGACTTGGAGTCCCCACCAAAACCTAGGCGACAGTGGCTGCCTCCCCGGCTACAGCCAGCTCCGAATAGCGGCCACTGCTTTTCTCCTCTGGTCGGTCCGGCTTTGTCCCCATGTCCCTACGCGAAATGGTGTTAGCGCGTCCGCAGCAGGACGTTCGCTCTGCGGATGAGCTTGCGGGAGCCGTGCTTCCCCTCCATCCTGTGCCCCTTCTGGGCAGGCAGCTTGGGCCCAGTGAGCAGACCCTTTCCTGGAGGAGCAGCTGCTACCGTGGCCTCATCTGAGATCTGGGACAATTTCCCGCTGCTCTCACCTCCGAGGGTTCACAAAGCAGCCGTTCCTGAACAGACACCCCACATCCAAAGAAAGCCAAGGGCGTACTGGGTGTGTGCTAATGTGAGTGGAGGGCCTGTCTTTGACACAGACAAAATACACTAGTAGACAGCATGTGTTGATTGCTCACTGAGATGGCTCTAGTGGGGGCTGACTTCTTTAACCCGCACAAGCCTATAAAGTAGGCACTATCATCATTGCTATTTTTCAGAAGAGAAAACTGAGGGATAGGGGAAGGAGGTAAGTTGGCCAGCGTTAATTAGCTCATGACAGTGATACTGGAATTTGGACCAGGCAGTCCAACCCCAGGGCCCACTCTCTACAGCCCTGGGCCAGGTGCCCCCTGTCAGTGAAGGTCAATATTTAAAGGTTGTGAGAGGCTCCCCACACTTCCTCACGGGGACTCCCTGGGTAATGGTGAAGTCTGACTTCAAACCCAGCTCTTCTGAATTCTGAGATGAATGACATTTTGTTGAGGTTTTCCTAACAGCACCATATTGAAGTGTGTGAATTAAATTCTTTTAAAGAAAAAGAAAAAAAAAAGACTGAGCAGGTGTTATGGTCTGAATTGTGTCCCCATCAAATTCAGATGTTGAAGCCCTAACCCCTGAAGCCCCGAATGTGACTGGATTTGGAGATACGGCCTTTAAAGAGGTGATTAAGTTAAAATGAGGCCATGAGGGGGCTGCAACCCAATCTGTCCTTGTGTCCTTGTAAGAACAGGACATAAGAGCACGCAGAGAGAGACCCAAGAGACGTGTGCACAGAGAAAAGACCACCTAAAGAGGTAGCGAGAGGAAGATCACCTACAAGCAAGCCAAGGAGAACAGCCTCAGAGGAAAGCAACCCTGCCAGCACCTTGACCTTGGACTTCCAGCCTCCCCTTTTCTCTTGTTTAAGCCCCCAGCCTGTGGCATTTTGCTATGGCAGCCCTGGCAGACTGGCACACAGGGAAAAGCAGTTGCCAGCTACCACCTTATTTCTGGGTATCTGAGAACGGTTTCTTGTGGGTCCTACCAGACTCACCCCAATACCTCCACCTGGGAATTTCGGAAGAAGGAAAGATCCTTGATCTCTGAGAGGGAGGAGGCCTTTCCTTCCTGGGCGCTCACAGTCAGGCAGGCGGTGACTGCCACCCTTAGGGACAGTATCTGACTTGCCCCAACGAGAAGAACTCGTCAACTGAGAACAAACTTCAGAAATGATGTCAAGTGCTCAGTGGCTGCTGGCAGAGGCCAATGAGAAGTGGACACCTCCAGATCGGCCCTCCAAACCCCCTCCGAATGACCAGGCCTTCTCTCCCACAAGAAACGTGCCCCTCCTCCTTAAGCGTGCCTTCCCCTTTGCTCCCATTGTGGCCACACTCTTTGGTATTTTAAAAACCTCCCCAGTCGGTGAAGGCTCAGAGATCTCCTGTTACCCTCCTCAAAGGGTGGAGGAAGGCAGGGAGGAACTGGCGTCTACTGAGCGCAGGCTCTTGACTGCATAGTAGCCGTGATTGCTAAGCGTCTGAAAACGCTCTCGGAGACGCAGGGAGCTGGGGGAGTTACACAGCCTCTGGAGGTACATCCTGTGACTTCCGAGCACAGAAAAATAACACGTTTTTCTCATGAGTGCTCTCCCAGGCAGCTAACTTCTGAGTATTAACCTGCCCTTTTTTATAAAAACAGAAATCCTCTAGCTCTGCCTTCCGATTTTTTGTGAACAAAATTTTGATCTACAGACATTCTTCTAAGTACTCATAGGATTCATGAATCTAAAGACCCCCTGTTTTGCTGTAATAAAAGCATGTCCTTTTCTAAACTAATCAGTTCCTGAAAACACACCTTAAAAAGCAATGTATACACACACATTTACCGAACACCTTGAGATTTTAAACCAGCAGGCTGCCCATGGACCTGGGCGGGGTCGTACAAATCCACAAACCTGCAATATAAATAGATATTTAAGAAAAAACTATTGGAAAGAAGTAGCTCATAAGAATAGTGACGAAGCTATTTTCATTTTTAAAGTTAGATAATGATAATTGTGTCTGATCCAACTTACTGCAGCAACCATGAGCCCTGTGGAAACGAAGGGGGCATAAGTCCGTGACGCGCTCCTCTGCCCCGTCTGCGGGCAGGAACGAGCCGTCGGAGCCATCCCAGGGTCCAGGAAGGCTCTTCCATACTAACCAGAATGGTGTCCTTTGTAACAGCACATTTCTTCTGAATCTTAGAAGCTTAAACAATGAGTTTATATGAAATGATGGTACTCTGATGAAAATAAAACCATCATTCAGTTCTACTGGGTTGGCGCTCTCTGCATTGGCCTGAGACTAGCCAAAAAAATGGAGTGGCAGAGAGGGACATTTGCTAAATTCCAACCACCTCTGTGCCCCAGCACGAATCTAAGGGCTGGAGAGACACAGTGACCCACACACACCGAGTCTCTGACGTCGCGGAGCTTGTGCATTCCCGAGTCCGCTTACCATTACCTAGCAGGTAGCAGACAGATGGGCCTTCTCTCTTCCTCCCTATCTCTCCGGATGCCAAAGGTCAATATGAAGTCTGTGAACCACAAAGAACAAACAGCCGCCATTCTGCAGCTGAGAAAATGATTCACTGCCAACCCTGTTCCCCAGAATCTGAGAGGTTTTCGTCTTCGGTCTGCTGGTTTTTCTCTAACAAGAGTTCATCTTGTAGCATTAACTTTTGAAATGCGCTGAAGCTATCTCAGTGTTGCATGACTGCAATTATTAAGCTAGTGAAAAGCTATTTTCCCTGTGTATGACTTTTTAAAAAATATGCTTGATTGGTTTCAGAGAGAGGAAGGGAGAGGGGGAGGGAGAGAGAGAAACATCGATGTGAGAGCAAAACATTGATGGGCTGCCTCCTGCACGCCCCCTACTGGGGATTGAGCCCAAAACCCAGACTGAAAATCAAACCAGTGACCTCTTGGTGCATAGACGACCCTCAGCCAACTGAGCCACACGGGTCAGGCTTACTTACCTGTGTATGACTTTAACATTATTAAAGCTTACAAAATAATACATAGCAGCCAAATGGTGAGTTTTGTTAGTAGGCAATCCTCTACTCCATTGCCAATGGTTTTCTTTCACTGCACAGTTAAGGCAGTTGCCCCATCCTAAGCAACTGTCTGTCATCCTAAGACATCCCCTGCCTGTCTCACAGAGCATGCCTGGCTTCAGCCGTAGACCAAATGCTTCATTATCAGCACAGTCTTGGCAAAGCAGAAATCACAGACCCCAAGAAGTGCTTGGGTTTTTTCTCTCTGACTCAGCATTAAGGATTATTGTAAACTTCTGTCAGGTTTAAGGTGCAATTTAATTATAGCTATTCTCACTAAACTTTTTTGTATGCTGTGATTTGTTTCACTAATAAAAAAGAACTCCTTTAGCTTTGAAATCTACGTACGATATATATTGCTTTATTAAATACCCATCTTTATTAGGTATCTTTGCACCATTCATATTTTGCATGTCCTGCAAAGTCAACTTTCTAGACTGAAAACTGTATGATTTTAAATAAATCTTATCATTGAAAGTGAAAATTCATGGAATGCCTAAACCATTTGCCTGCTCTGAGAACTTTTACTTAGCACAGAATTGATTATTAATTTGAGCTTTTACTTAATTACATAATTGATTTCTGTCCATTGTCCAAACCTATGTATTTATAAAGTTCCTTCGGCAGTGACATAAGCCCACCTATCTCAGCAAATTCTCTATTCCCATTTGGATGGAATTGTATTTTTTCATAGCAAAGCCCATTATTCCACGTTGTTAATGTTCTTGGTTAATTTCAGTATCATTTGCATGTGTTTTTAGAACAGGTGCAGAACTGTGACTCATATTTATAGAGAAAATGACTGTTTCAATATTAGCCCTTGTGATCATCAGTAAATATGACCATTATATTTATCTTTTTATTTAATGGACTTATTCCTAAATAGAAAATATATTATTGTCCCTAATGCTATTTTTGTAAACATTATTTGTAACTCTATTTTGTATTTTTCAAAAGATCTCACATTCTCAGTGTTGGTGACAAAGAAAATTATTAACATTGAAAACCCCAGCTACATTATCATTAAACCACTTTCTGAATGATCCAAAATTTTTTATCAGAATTTAAAAATGCATGCCCGTATCCTAATTTCACTTATGCACTCACTCATTTATTCATTCAATGAACATATTGTGTACCTGCCCACACATGTCAGGCACCGTGCCGAATGCTGGGCCTGCGAAGAGGAGTGAGATATGGTCTCTGTCCCCCCCAAATTTATTTTATTGAATGGAAAGTAGGAGAGGAATGAGCATGGGTATAGTTTATGAGAGAGAGAGTAAAAACATAGATCAGCTTCACATATTGCGAATTGGAGAAAATGTGTGAAAACCACAAACCTTTGGTTAGAGAAAAGTGAATTCCTTTCCCCTTTTTCCAAGAAGTTGATCTAGGGAAGGTGAAGTTCCTTCTGCTGCATAGAAAACCAGAGCAGCGATGTTGAGGCGAGTCCCAGGCAGCACAGACGTGGGGCTAGCAGAATCTCTCTGGAAATAGCAAGGACACCGGAAAATTTAGTAAGGCTGCTTGAGAAACACAGAGGAGGGTGAGGCCCTCTAGAAAACCACAGAGCAAAAAATAAATTAAAAGGCTGGCACTGTGGATAGGAAATGAGGGCAAATCTGATAAAAGAAACTTATAGATAACACCTAAAGAAGGAACACAGACAAGAAATTTTCTAATTTAAGGAAACACGTGTTAGCTAGATCAAGATACTGGCCAATGTTAAGATTTGACCCAAGTGACTAAGAGATTTTCAACGCCATCAGGATGCAGAAGTATGGAGAAACTACCCCATCAAAGAACAAAGGAGCAGTCGTCACAGGGATTCTCAGTGTAGGACACAGCTGGATGAATCCAGACCACAACACAAGGGCAGGGTGCAAGGCTTCCTGAGAGGTGAGGGTGGGCCTTAATAATACTGAGACGTGTAAACCCCAGCAGTGTCTGTGCAACAAACGCATGGTGGTGTCACTGCGGTCTAGTGAGACTTGCTCCAGCTCTCAAAGAACCTTCCAATAGAACTTCCTTCTCATTGCCCCCCCAGCCACCCAAACCACCCACATCCATCGGGTCAGGCCACACAGAATAGCAGAGAATATAGAATTCTTGGACGCAGCAAACTGCCAAAGAAAGAGGCTCACATCACTCTTCCCTGGTTATCACCAAGTTTACATAACTTGAGTATTTATCTTGTTTCAGCCTCCCAGCCTGCCCTGATCTTAAATGTGTGTGTGCCACTTAGTCTATGTCTTGACTTCCTAAGTTGCTGGTCTTAAAACATTGAGTATTACTTCTGGAAGATCCAGGACTGGGGACCACATGGGGCCATTTGCTTGTTCAGAGTTGCCTGAGTGGTGGCATGCATACCCTGACCCCAAAGGAACACCACCTGCTCAGACGGCAAGTGCACCTATCAAGGAAGGGCAGCCTCCAGACAGAGACCACGGGTGTTAAGAGGTGAGCCAGAGTGAGTGCGGCCCAGGCTGGAGACTTCAGCTTTTGTGACCAGAGCTGGAAGAAATCACATAAGCCAAGAGAGATGTGCTATGTCACGGTGGCCCTCCTGGAAATAACGCGCCCTACGCTTAGACTTGGAGACGGTTGGCTGGTAAGACAAAGTAAGGTGCTTCATTGTATAACAACAGGAGATGACTAATTTGATCCTGGAAATGTAACCCACAGAAACCATTTGGTGTATTTGTAGGTTCAACAGAGAGATATTGAAATGATAGCTGAAAATAAAAGGGTGCTTGTCCCCTTGGAAGCAGTGGAAAACACAGAGCAAGAAGTTAATATGTACCACCAGCAATGAAGAAGAAAAGGGGCCTGATTAACGGAATATCCTGACCCACTGAACGAACAGATCTCATGGCCCGAGAGCTATTCATGAGGTTGCCACGGTATTATTACTTTACTCAGTGAATATCTACTAAGTGCCAGAGTACTGTGAAGTGTCTCTAGTTAATGAAGTGAAAAATAAGGCAGAATCCCTCCATTTGTGGAACTCACAGTCTTTTAGGGAAGAGAGATATGTAAGCCAACCTTGGGATTTGACCCAAATGACTAAGAGGTTTTCAATGCCATCTGGAAGCAGACGGATAGAGAAACTCCCTCATAGTTTCAGTACTATGAGTGAAGTGTTTTCATCCAAAGTCGCACAGAAACCCAGAGGAGGGAGTCTAATATTCCTAGAGGGGTCAGGGGAAACTTCTCAGAGGAGAGTGGCTCTAGAAAATAATACCAGCTCATCCATCCAGCGAGCCGGCCTTCCGTTCATTCATTCATCGCAGGCGTGCTGAGTGCCTCCCACTGTTCTGCATGCTGTGGATACAACATCGAACAAGACAAGCAAGTTCGTAGCTGAGTGAAGTTTACACTCCGGTGGGGTGTGGATATTACCAGTAGACACACAGGCTGGCTCCTTAAGACCATCCAGTACCCACCTTCTGGCCTCATTTCCTTTCCCACATGTATTTTCCTGCTGAGACAGAGCGCCCTGACCGCTTGGAGCATTTTGATCTTTTTGGTAAATGTAGCTCTCATCATGAAACCAAGATGCCAGTTTATTGTTCACCATCACAATGGAATAACTCCAGAAGGGCATGATCAGACAAAATCAACTTTCTGAAACTGCAGTGCTGAGAAGCAATTTCACAAAGAAATAAAAGTGAGAAATGAGATGTCTAGGCTGACATGAAAAATCCTTACCTTACTTTCCCAGTGGAGGCCTTTTCTGCCAGTGGGGGAAAAAAATGGGTTCTCTTTCCCAGAAAAAAAGTTCATGGAAGAGCAGCAGGAGTTTCTTTGTGGATCCCAGGAAGAACTCCCAGTGCCCAGCCTCTAGCAGCAGTGAGCCAAGGGACATGCCCCATTTCCCATTCTCCCAGGACCCTGAGCTTTAGGCCTGGGGCCCTCAGAGGTGCCTGCAGCCAGTGTCACGCTCAGATTCACAGTGCACAGAGCCGCCGGACCCGAGGCCGCCAGGGACTCGCAGCGGCCACTTCCTGAAGGAACGGTCAGCGCCTTCTCTCCGAGAAGTCAGCGGGAGAGCCGGGGCCAGCGCCCCCCATTCTGCACACAGGGTCCCTCTGCGGAGCGCCGCGTGCTCTCTGCACCCTTCTGGGATGGGGACCGCTCGATGGCATTCAAAGGTGACAAAAGAAAGCAAAAAGGCGTCCCCACCCTAACATGAGGGGGAAATTCAAGCTACTGCAACCAGTGGTTTTAAGCCAGGCCAGCCTTCAAAGATCTCAGACTAATCCTATAGAAATGACCACAATTTCATAACAGAACAAGAGAAAGGAAGTGAAAAGCTTCTGCAAGGCGCAGTTGGTATCATTCTGAACACGCATGGTTCCTGTTGGCCAACACGTCTGCTTTAAATCCCTCAAGCTACCAATTATCAGTGTTATAAACCAGCTTTTCCTCATACTTATAGCCTCTGTTTCTTTTAGAAGTTATTCAAATAATGTGTTTTTGTTGTCAAAAATGTAAAGTACAGGTACGCATAAAAAAGAAAATGAAAAATTCCCTATAATTCCACCACCTGGCACTTGGTTGAATATCCTTCCAGCCTTTTTTCTGTGGTGAGGTGGATCTTAGGCTGAGCTCTCAACATCCATCCCACCCCACCCCATTCTGGAACGTTCCTTCAACTTTATAGGGTTTAATCCTATTCCCAGCTCTGACTAGGTCCTGATCTGGCTAAACAGAAGTTCAATAATTATATGACCTTGACACAATGTTTATTTTAGGAGCCAGCGCCTAACCCAGACCTAACCCAAGCAATACAAGGTGTTCCCCTCGTTGCCCTGAAAAGCGTGCGATCTAGACGGTCCTGTTGGAGGGAAGCCTGGGATTCTGGGATCCCTGCTAACTCTCCCTCTCTGGGCTTGAACCAAATGGTCCTGGGAGCTGTTGGCAGGCATCGTGCCACAAGACAGACCACTTTCAGGTGAAAGCAGATGGTGCAGAAGGCAAAAAGGAGATATAAAAAGAAATTCACTTGCTAAGGAACATTCTGAGCTGCTAAATTAAATTAACACCAAAATCTGTCTCACTTCTGGAGTTTCTAGTTATATGAACCAAATAATCTGCTTCTTGAAGTCAGTATAAATTGTGTATTTTATTACTTGTAACTAAATGCATCCTAAATGATTCGTGTAGTTATTTTTATTTAAAAATGTACATGTTGTTTTATAGTTTCCTATTTAAAAATGCATCATAAACCATCCTTCCTTTTTAAGATAAATACACTTTTACAAAATTATTAATTGCTTTAGAGTAGTCTGTTATAGGGACAGACACTAAATTACTTCTCCAACACCCTATTGTGGGGCATTTACATTGTTTCTGGGGCCTTTCCATATTATCTAAACAATTCTGTATCAAGTCTCCTAAATATTAGAGAACATACTTATTTCCTTAGGATACATTTCTAATATAAAACTTCTGAGTCAGATTATGTGCTACTTAAAAGGTTTTTGACTCACATGCCAAAGGCCCTTCCAAAAGATAGTTTCAATTATATTCCAACCAACAGAGCATGAGAATCCCCAAAACTCTCCCCCTCTCCCAGCCCAGGGCCCTCGACACATATAAAGGTTCAACACAAATAAAATCTCCATCTATGTGAAAAATGGCTCCCATCGCTGTTTAATTCACATTTTGAAAAACCATATAGAGTGCTTGTAGTGTTTAATTTTCATATATTTATTTGTTTATTGTATTTCTTCTTTTTCTGAATTTCCACGGACATTCTCAGCCCATTTTAAATTGAAGCACTTGCTTATTTTTACACCTTAAAAGTGAAATATAGACTTAAGTAGTTTTTAATGAAAGAGAAATCTTCTTTTTATTTAAAGAGTTACTATATGACCTAGCAATTTCATTCTAAGATATATGTCCAAGAGAAAGGAACACGTATGTCCACACAAAAACTTGTACACAAATGTGTACAGCAGTGTTACGCATAACAGGCAAAAAGTGGAAATCATCCCAATGTTTGGCGAATGAATAAACAAATCCTGGCCCGTTCATACCGAGAATACTACTCAGGAACCAAAAGGAATGGTCACGCTACAGTGATACCCGCCGACACGCACAACGCGGGTAAGTCTCAAAAGCATTACACTAAGCGAAAGAAACCAGACGCGAAAAGACCCAAGTGAGAAATTCCATTTATATGATATTCTGGAAAAGCCAAAACTGTAGAGACAGAAATCAGACCAGTCGTTGGCAAGAGTTAGGCGCGGGGGAGGGCAAGGCACAAAGAGGTGACGGGGAGCTTTTTTCTTTTGATGGGATTGTTCTAGGCCCTGTTTGGGGTGAAGATTGGACAATATAAACATTTGTGAAAACTCAGAGAACTGTGCACTTCAAAAGGTAATTTTTTACAGTATGTAAATTATACCTCAATAAATTCAATTTTTAAAAACAATAATAAAATCTAAAAAAAATAAAAAAATTTAAAAAAGTCAACTAC